CTTAGAATACCTTAGTAATTGTTACGAAAACTTGTAAGTCCCCTCATCTATGTCTGAGCTCCACCAGTATCTCTGCCTGTGCTTCCACTTGAAAACCTGTAGATTAGAAATGACCCCCTCAGAGCTATTGTCCAAACTGAAGACCCCCAGATTCTTTGGTTATAATGTGCAAAACTTCGGAGAGGAAGAGGGATTTCCTGATGACAAGGCTGTCAAAAGAAAATAATAGACTGTGAGTGTGCATGTACGTGTGTGTGGTGGGCAGGCGTTTGTGAAAATTTTGACAACTATATTTAAGATGTATGTCTATGTATTACATGTTTTAATATATATTTAAGTGTATGTTTAATAGGAAATAAAACTAAAAAGTTAGATCATGGTGAGGCTACCGTAGGGTCTTCAATGCGATGCTAAGGAATTAAAAGTTATATGGTAAATACAAGGTGATAATATGATATCAGTTAGGCAAGAAACAGCCTACCTAGGAGCAAAAGGTGGAGCTTATGCTAACTAAACCAAAGTTTCTGAAAACCTTTTGTTCAGTGACAGAGATAAAAGTAACTTTATACGACCAGAGTGCAGAGCAAAGAAGTTGGGCAAATAATTGAAAGCAGAATTTTCCATATGACATATTTTTTTTTCTTATTTATTTATTCATTTATTTGTGAGGAGGATTGGCCCTGAGCTAACATCTGTGCCAATCTTCTTCTCTTCTATGTGGGAAGCCTCCAGAGCGTGGCCTGATGAGCAGGTCCAGGTCCTTACCCAGGATCTGAACCTGTGAACCCCCGGCTGCCAAAGTGGAGCACATGAAGCTAACCACTATGCAGCCAGGCCGGCCGCATGACATGTAATATTTCTATACTAAATTCAGGATTTCACAATAAGGAAATATGGATATTTGACTAAGTATGACCCTTTGACAGCCAGTAATGAACTTTTCTGTTAAATATCATAGACAGCCTTTTATTTGTAAGATTTTATCATTGATTTTTATCTGTTTGACTATGATATGCCTAGGTGTTGTTTTCTTTTTATTTTTTCTTCTTGGGATTTTCTGAGCTTCTTTGTTTTGTGGGTTGATGTCTTTCATCAGTTTTGGAAAATTCTCAGTGATTCTCTCTTCAAATTTTTTTTTTTGCACCAATGTCCTTCTCTTCCTTTTTAGGACCCTAAGTACGTATGTGTTAGACTATTTGTTATTGTTCCACCGGTTTTACGTGCTCTGATCTGTTGCAGATTTTTTCTTTTCTCGTTCTTTTTTTGCCTTTGTGCCTCAGTTGGGATAGTCCTATTGACCTCTCTCAGAATTTATCTATCCTTTTTCTGCTATGTCCATTTCTACTAAGCCCATTCAATGAATTTTTCATTTCAAGTCTTTTATTTTTCTGTTCTAAAACTTTTCTTAAGTTCTCTCCTGAAATTTTCCTCCCTCTCACTGGTTATTTCCATTTTTTCCCTTGATTTCTTTATCCTAATTATAATGATTATTTAAAGTCTTTGTATGTAAATTCTAACATCTGGGTCATCTGTGGGCCAATTTCCACTGACTGTTTTCTTTTGTCTAAGCGTAACATTTTCCTACTTCATAGTTGTGTATCACATGCCAGACATTGTGTCGAAATGAATTGCCAAGACAGAAGTAGAAAATCACAAAAATAACTATTTCTATCAGGCAGCTAGAGTGAGGTGCTGATCTCTCTGATTAGAATTAAGCTCAATTTGGGTTAGCTTGTAGCTTTAATTAGGTTTAATTCACCGCTCGTTTCAAAAGTTTTGAAGTGTGAAAGATTCCACCCTAGGCTTGGAATTCAAGCAACGTGTACCTGAGATTCTGCTCCGCTCCCCAGCCCTGCCTCAAGATTTTTGTGGCACTGGAGATCTCTCTTACTCTCAGTCTGGACCCAATTGCTCTCATGCTGCTGAGCACTGGATAAAAGTCTTAAGGTTGAGAATTGGTAAATAGTAAGGACTCGCTCTGTGTCTGGGGTTCATATGTATTCAATATTCCACGTCAGTCCAAGATTGTTAAATGTTCAGCCGCTTTCTTCTTTTACCTACATAGTCTCCCACCCAACGACAAGTGTGCTATTCCCTGTGATTAAAGCTGCCTCTTGTTCTAGCTCACACATGAAGGGCATATCCGTCTCTGAGACTTAGTTTCCTCTAAATTTCTTTGTATCCTCAGCTCCTCAATGGGCTCAAAACTATGCAAAATTTTGTAATTTAACTAGTATTTTTCTCCTTTTGTTACGATAATAATTTTGGTGATTTATGACCATTTCCATCATAACCAGAAGCAGAACTTTGAAGTCCTTCGCTTTAACTTTTTTCTGATCCTAATAACAATAATCATTCAAAAATTTCAGAAAGTCCAGAAAATTGATGAATACTTGGTCAATATGCATTTTCATCATTTTGTAAGATTGCCCTAAACCTCTCTGAGTTGCTTCAATGTTCAGGTATTTTGTGTCCAAGTGGAAAGAACTTTGCTTTCTCTTCCAATCCTCCATACAATCTTCAGTTGTCAAGATTCTTGGATTCTGTTTGTTCTCCACTCTCCTTTCACATGCACCTTATGGTGTGGAAGATAAAATGCATCAACTTTATGTTATGCAGTAAAATTCAGCTCTGTAGTATCTCTTCCTTAAAAAGAATGCTTTTCATGGTACTCAGGAAACAAAGGTACTCCGAGGACATTGTGACCTCCAACTACCAGGACTCTTATGATGAGATGGCATTGTTAGTTGGGGGAAGACCGATACATTTATTTCCCTTATTATACAGTATTCAATTACAAAGCTACTAAAAAAATACTCATGGAATTGTCATGACATGGAAGAGCTGTGGAAATATTCAGGTTGGTGGAAAGGATCCTCTGAGAGGTACAATGAAATGCAGTGATTCTTTCTTGACAAAGAGGAAAAGAATGAGTCCCCAGCTACACATTACAGGACAAAAGACCTCTCCTGTGATATGTAGCAAGGGAAAGGCACTAAAAGAATAAATAAGATAAGACAACTGTTGTCAGATAAAGGAAGCTCCTTTATTTGATAACATATGGTTCTTATCCTCCTTTTCAATCAATATCAATGGCTAGGTTTTGTCTTGTTCGTATACTTATTTCTTTTAGGGGCTGTCACGGTAGTTGCATGTGACACCTCTATATTGTAAAACAGGTTGAAACGAAGTTCCTTTTTTGCATGAGGATCGGCTTCTTATGTACATTGTTACAGGTGGCGTGTTGCAGGGTGGTGTTACTAGGTTATGTTTAGTAGTCTTGAAGTGTTTCTCATGCACAAAACGATACTGGTGTTTTATGTGTTTATAGATGAGCTTTACCCTTAATATGTTCTTTTCCTCTTTATTAAAATTAAGTACCATCTAAATCATCGTAGAAATAGTTGGGCTAAAGTCTCAAAATTAACAATAGTAATATACATTTCATATTATTAGTAACATTTTTATATTTATTGTCCATGTTGAGAATTGTATCAGCTCTGTGATGAAGATGCTTATATCCTTGTTTTTTATTGGTGAGGAAACTTGAGTGCTTGAAAACTTAGATGCAAAAAGAGAAGTGACTTCCCCAAGACCACAAAAAAATTAACCATAGAATTGGGTTAGTACTGGTCAAATTCTTACTTCATTTGTTTTGAACCTGTTACTGAGTAAGATCAGGTTAGTATAAGAGCGGTATTATTTTCTAAATTGAGGGATGAAAATACATGAAATTACTGTGATAACATCAGTTCTACTTTAATTTTAAGTGATGGTCCAAAACAGGTTTCTGACTTCATTTTTCCTTCTCCTCATTTAGCTTTTGTTTCTTATCACAAAGGGTACTCACAGCCAACTAACCAAATGAAAAGTACGGCTTGATTAAGAATCTCTTTTGTCAATAATTTGTGCCTAATGCTTTTAGCTTTCCCATGGGTTGTTGTAGAAAATGGTAAATCTGGTTTAAATGAAACCTGATCCTGTTAATGGTTTAATGGCAGCTGCCACAGGGTTAGGGCATTTTTCCACAGATGCTTCTGTTCCATTTTAAACATAAACTAAGTCTTGGAATATTTACATAAATCATATAAATATGCCCACACACTTTTGGCTAAATATAGTGTGGTAAAATAGTCTTAGACAAGTCCCTATCTTTGCCCATTTATAATTATTCACATTGAATTTTAAAAAGAAACCCAAGACTATACCCTATTTAACAAAATAGATTATTCATGTCTTCCGCTTTGCTAAAAGATTTTTTTTGAAAGGTCGAAGAATAGGCTCCATCTCTACATCCGGGGCCCTGAAGGGTGGCTTGGTCGATCTGATAGTTTCGTTCTTCTTTATGCCTAACACTATCTGTTCAGCACTGACAAATTGCTTAGACTGTGACGTGCATTGTAGTGTCAACTGAAATAAACAGAGTAGTCACAAAATTAAACGGGACACTATTTTTCCTTGAGGAGGTGGACCTTGTAATAGCAATTCAAGCTATCATTATGCCTAGGATTAGTTTCTATGGAATGTGATAGTTTGTTCGACCATTTTTTAAAAAACATTTCTTCTGTGCAAAGCACTTGTGCTGGGTACATGAATGACACAGAGATGAACAGAAGCCAAGTGAAACTATGACCATGACAAGAGAGAGAAATAGTTCTGCAATAGAGGTCCCAGCTCAGCAGAAAGAACTGAAGGTACAGTTCACCGCATTGGGTAACACATTGCACGTTGGATTCCTAAAGCTCATGAAGTACAGAATCCTGAACTGGCCGTGTCAAACTTGTCACGTTTGGGTCATATTTTCATGGCAATATTGTTGCTCAATTGCCTTGGACTGGAAATATTATTTAAGAAAATACGTTTAATGGTGAGTTTTTAAGGGCAAACGACAGAGGTATAAACCAACTCTACTTAATTCTAAATTATCTACAGGCATCACTGAATATGGCATGTTTCTAAATACAAGCATCTCAATCTTCCCTTGTCTTAATATCTTCTAGGGACTCCCTCCTAAGACAGATGTGAAACCTGGCATGGCTTTCTTGTTTGAGCTCTTTCTCCTTCGTGGGAAATACGCGTATCTCGACCAAGTTGTGGGCTGGGCAGCCTTCCCTTTGTGTGATAACAACTTTGATGTATTGGAGGGGAAATTCAAGTGTCCTCTTCTCCGAGGACATTATGACCAGAAATTGGACACTTTCAGGAAAATTGAAGATTTGATTTGCCTGGACTTGGACCACTGGCTGTGCAATCTCTATTTTCAGGTTTGTAGTATGATTTTGTAAGTGGAAAAAGAATTTAAAGTTTTTCTAGACCAGCTTCTTTCTAGCCTTTAGCTTCTTTTCATGCTATTGAAAATTTCAATAAGTATAAACCTGTAAAAGTAATTACATCTTAATGCTGGTTTCTGATAATGCAGATTAAATTGATGTCTACAAATAAAGAATAAAATTCTAGAGTTAGTGGGAATCTTAGAGATAATTTAATCCAAGCTTCTATGTTGTGAAAGGGTTAGAACAGCCACCCCATCCCCTGACTCAGTTTACAATCTTGCTGCTGGAGCACGTGGATCTCATCAGCATGGGGATAGGGCTGTGGCATGTTTCCTTATCAAAAGTACTCGTTGAGCTTCTGTTGTGTGTTGGGAGTTGTTTGTTCCCTTTTGTATAAACGAGATGAGAACTGGGCTCTGCCTTTTGGTTGCCTGTCCTTTTTTCGATGAGACAGACGTGTGTTCACAAAACGATCAGCAGTGACTCACGTTTCCACAGAATATGAGTGGCCATCACAAAGCTCCCTTTGCCATATATATCACTTCAAAGCATGCTGACTTGTTTACCTCAAAAATTGAAACAAAAAACCAAACAAACACTGGGGCACACACCATTTATTGGAATATATTTGGAATTCTGTTTTCTAACCAAGACTTTTAGCAGAAGTGCCATTGCATAAATTCATTTTAGGCAAACACCATGGAGGATCCAAAAAAGACAATGATAGCACACATTAAGTAGAAAGCATTCCAACACAATTTTACTCTGTATTTTTGTCCTATGTGTCCAAATTTGTTCTTCCTGATAATGATATTTTTCCAGAGTGCCTGCACCATAAAATGCTATGATTTTTTTCCCTTACCTATATGTTTGAATTTTTTTTTGGTTTATCTATCTGTCTATTTATCTATCTATCCATCTGATGGAACTATTAAACACGGACATTTCCAGGGAATACATGTAGTTTAGATCAGCAGCCACAAATCTTTCTTGTGTGATGATCTTTTTGTTTCATATTTGTTTTAAGTTGAATTAGCTGGCTGTTTTTTTTAGCTTTAGCTAATTCTTTTATAATGTCTTGCTGAAACATATTTTTGGGGCAATATAGGTATGCTATTAAGAAAATAATGCTTATGTGGATATATGCCTTTCTATTTATTCTGGAAATAGTGCCATCCTACGGTAGATCTGACTGTTCATTTGAAACATGTGTGAAATTTAAAAAATATTACTGCTTGGATTCTGTTCCCAGAGATTTTGACTCAATTGTTTTGGGGTGGGGCCTCAGAAGCTGAAATTTTTAAAACTTCTAAGAATTAGAAACACTGATATAAATAAGCTTGAAAAGAAAGACCATTATAAATAAATCCCAGGAAGTTATTGGAAAATCACCCAAATTTTGAAGAAAACTATAAAAAATAACGAAATATTTAGCAAATTGGTGACTTGAATGCTGTAGCAAGAGACCAAAATAAATGAAAATGAAAATATAGCTATAAAAGAAAATAAATTTTGGCATAGATTTATTAGCTAATGTGAAAAGTTTCTGTAATTTTTCACTAATTGTTACCTAAAATTCAGTATTCTATAAGTTATGGCATAGAAAATCAGCACTAATTTTGTTTCATAAAAGATAATTTACGTACTACAGGTATTGATCATAAAGAGATATATATCTCTTATGTTCGAGATAAAAATTAAGAAGTGATGTTTAAAATTTACAAGGTCAAGAGAAGTGGCTATTTGGTAAACAGCATTAGAATAATTTGATTTCACTAAAATCTACTGATTTTGAATACGTTACTAAAATTTGCCTCTTTTTTTCTCTGACTTCCTACTTAAAAAAGACCTTGAGGGGCTGGCCCCGTGGCCGAGTGGTTGAGTTTGCGCGCTCCGCTCCAGGCAGCCCAGTGTTTCGTTGGTTTGGATCCTGGGGGCGGACATGGCATTGCTTATCAGGCCACGCTGAGGCAGCGTCCCACATGCCACAATTAGAAGGACCCACAACAAAGAATATACAACTATGTACTGGGAGGCTTTGGGGAATAAAAGGGAAAAAAAAATCTAAAAAAAAAAAAAAGACCCTTGAAAAATGTGATAATATGATTTACCTGCAAAGCTCACTGACCATTATCCATTACAGATGGACATAGTTGTCCACTAACATTCTTGTTTGATAACAGGAATTTTCTCCCTCTGTATATTTCATAGGGTGAGGGTGAGGCTTATTAATGAAAATAGTACCATTTTGCAAGATGTATAATTTTCTGATTATAAGGTGAAATAAGTAGGAATGTACACATTTCTCTTTCATAAGGATGAAAACAAAAAAAATTCTTGCCTTGGAATCCTATTTTTTTCTTATGTGAAATTCTCAAATATGTGGATTTTTCCAATATGAGTTTTCTCAAATGCAAAAATTTCTGAACAAATAAATGTAAATTTTGAATACTCCTTTTAGAGTTACTCAGAAAAAGAATAACTTGGAATGAGGAAGAGAAAAGATAAATGAAGGAACAGAAAAGAGGTTTTTGCAATGCAGCCTTAGAAGAGATTACAGGAAACAAGTCAAGTCAGATAAATTATGACCATTTCCCTCCTATGGCTGCTGGTGGAAGGAAATTGCCGAAGTCAGAGAGGGGCTGGCGTAGCTGTGACTTCCCGTGTTCTTCCACAGTCTTTCCAGGGATGGAACTCAGGCTGATAACTGAGCGCGAGGGAGGAGTCTGGAGAACCACTCAGATCCAGCCCCACATCACATGTGAAAGAACGGAAGAAGGAAAATTATGCCAGCAAGATAGCCTTTAACATTTCCCAGAAAACCTTTCCTATCAATTCCTCAATTTTCTGAAAATTTCAATTCCTGTGCTTTTTTTTCATCAAGTACTTTATTATTAAAATTTTAAACATAGAGAAAAGCTGAAAAAATTGCATAGTGAACATCTATATGTTCACCACTAGATTCTGCAATCTTGTCATTTACTTTTGATCTTAAGATACTATTTCTTGTAGATAGTAAATACTGAATGAATATTTGCTAATTTTTCCCAGTATGAATATTGAATTGTTTCTTGAAGAAGAGACTAAAGAAAATTATAAGGTAGGGGCCGGCCCAGTGGCACAGCAGTTAAATATGCGCGTTCCACTTTGGCGGCCCGGGGTTCCCTGGTTCAGATCCTGGGTGTGGACATGGCACTGCTTGGCAAGCCATGCTGTGGCAGGCATCCCACATATAAAGTGGAGGAAGATGGGGGCACAGATGTTAGCTCAGGGCCAGTCTTCCTCAGCAAAAAGAAGAGGATTGGCAGCAGATGTTAGCTCAGGGCTAATCTTCCTCAAAAAAAAAAGGAAAAGAAAATTGTAAGGTCAAACAAAGAAAAGAACTAAGAAACATAAAGAGCAATGGCAATATCTGAAATAATTATGTAAATTTATTAATACAAAAGAAAAATATATTCTTGAAATACAACCAAACCAAAGCAAGTAAAAGATTTGGTAAACTGAATTCATCATTGACTGTTGGGATTTTGCAAAGCGTATCATTGTTTTAGAGAAAAATTAACTGTGTGTGTAATATTTCCAGCAGTTTAGATAACAGATTTATCTCTTTAATAGGTAATTAAACTTCCTCTGTGTTTGGATGATCAAAAAATCCATGAAAGACATATTCAGCTTCCCGCTGAATTGCCAGTTCATTTAATGGCTAAAGCAGAGAAAACAGAATCAGGTGTGAATAATATAGGTGGCCTTTCAGAAAAAGAAACAGAGAAAAACTTTTGTGCATCAATGGATGATGAAGCTAAATCCTCATTACACTCTTCTCAGGGTTAGTGGACTTTTTTTTCAGCATTTTATTTCTAATATTTCAAGTTGTGTTATATTACATAAAAGTGGGAATGAAGTTTTAATTATTAATGTATTTCTTTCCATACTATGCCATTTAAAGAGAATGTAATCATTGATAAGAATGTTAATTTTCATATCACATACTTATTAATTACATAATTAATTATAACATTACTTCATTGAAACACAAGTTTTTCTCCATGGCCTTATTGTTCTAAAAATACTTTCGAGTGTTTTTTTAGGGCAATTTGGCTTTTTTTTGCTCTTAGTTCTAGATTTTAATCTTGCATGCTCACCAGAGCGGTAGACAAAAAATGACTATGACGGAGAAAATGTTCTCAGAAAAACGTTCTTAAATAATACAGTTTAGTTTATAAGCCTTTGTTTTCAGAGACTGATTTAAGCAAGCACTGAATAAGCAAATAACATTGTTTGAAATAGTCAATGTATAAAAATTTCAACTTACAGAAGAGATATATTAATTATTATTATTATTTTTGCAAAAGAATTATTTCCATTACCAAAAGATTCACGACAAGGTCCTTTACAGGACAGCTCCTCTCACAGTAGTAATAGCATTGTTAGCAGTAGGAGGGGGTGGATTGGCAGTAGCTGCAGTAATAGGAGCAGTCAGAGTATCACCAGCATAGTACTAACACTAGTAACATTACCAGTAATGATAAGTACATGCATTGCATGTTTTTAAGGTACCAGGCATTTCAGTAAGCACTTTCATTTTCATTTTTGAAATTATCAAATATTTTAAACACACTGTACAGAAAATAACATAATGTGTATCAGTACCCAGTACCCGGCTGTGTCCCTTCTTGCTATTTTGCCATATTGGTTTCACATCTTTTCTTTTTAAAAGTAGCATTTTACGTATGATTAAAACTCTCTACGAACTGCTCCATGATTCTGTTCCCGGCTGTCTTAGATTTATTGTTGATCGTTTTCACATATATTTTAATACATTTCCTACATATGTATGTGATTGTAAACAATATAGAATATCTTTTTTATGTTTCCATAGTTTATAGAAATATGTCATACTTTACATCTACTTCTGCAACTTTATTTTCTCTCAACACTGTCTTTGAAATTTATACACACATACAAATACAAACATATATATATTTCTGGTTTATTGATTTTATTGTTGTATAGAGTTCCTTTGCATGATTGCAACAAAATTTGTTTATTCTTATTATTTATTTTCAGTTTTACTCTATTGCAAACAGGGCTACAATGATTATTCTTGAAAATGTCTTTCTTATGCACATGGGTGTGAATTTCGCTAGAGTATATCTACCCAGGAGAGGAATCACTGGATGAGAGCGCACACTTCCTAAATTTATAGCATAGTGACACATTGCCGTCCGAAGTGGTTGTATCAACTCACTTTCCTAATAGCTGTGTAGAAGAGCCTCTTTGGCTCACATCCTATCAATCCCTGTTATTGTCAGTTTTCCCAATTCAGTTGCAATGAAATGAGATCTTTTTGTCTTGATTAGAATTTCCCTGCAAAAAAGTAAGTTTGAGCATTTTTTTCGTAGACTTCTGTTGACTATCGGGATATTTTCTGCTGTGAATTCCTGTTCCTATTGTTAAAAAAAAAGGAGGGGGGTGCCCAGCCTGGTGGTGCAGTGGTGGAGTGTGCACATTCTGCTCTGGTGGCCTGGTGTTCGCTGGTTCAGTTCCCGGGTGTGGACATGGCACGGCTTGTCAAGCCATGCTGTGGTAGGCATCCCACATAGAAAGTAGAGGAAGATGGGCACAGATGTGAGCTCAGGGCAGTCTTCCTCAGCAAAAAGAAGAGGATTGGCAGCAGATGTTAGCTCAGGGCTAATCTTCCTCACAAAGAAAAAAGAGAGAGAAAGAGGCTCAAAATAGAGTCTTTTGTCCCCACAACAGTAAACTAAGACTTAATTACAATTTCAGCCTCTCCCAGGCTGAAATGTCCTGATGAGCACTAGTGAGGTAATCTGTGTGATAAGACCTTTGCTGTTCCCCTCCCCCAAAGGAAGATGACCTGGTCTGAACAATCCTTTCTTTTCTTTTGCTAATAACTTCCTTGCCCCTCCCTTCTCCCTACTGAAACTTTCCATTTTGTACAGCTCCTTGGAGTATCTCTCTACTTGCTAGGTGAGATGCTGCTTGATTCATAAATTGCTTAATAAATCAAATTAGATCGTCAAATTTACTTCGTTGAACTTTGTTTTTTAACAGATTTGGTGGCAGCAGCAGGATTCAAAGCGAACTTCCGGCAGCATTTGAGGACATTGAGAAACACAGGTGAGGTGCCCAGAAAGTCCTTTTTGAGTTCACGGTGGTGTTTCTCACCATTTCCAAGGACCCTGGATAAGTTCCTCTCAGTTTGAGCTTTCTCTTTGCATTGGGCTCCTGAGCTAATTGGCCTTCCAGTCCAGGGCTTAGTGGGTCAGCTTGAGCTGGCAGATGATTCCATCTGGAACCAGAGTCCCTAGCCCTTGGTTCAGTCCGCAGTTCCCTGGTGTTTGTTTCATCCCTTTTCCCAGTTCTGGTTTGCAGTCCTCTTTTACTGGAGTCTTCTGGTTTCGTCTGTGCTGGGTATTGCTGGAGGTGTACACAGGGCTTTCTATTGGCCAGTCCACGGTAACATCTAAACCTCAGCCCTTGGTTCTGTCCCCAGATTCCAAACTGCTGGTGGCAGCTGCAGTTCTCCATTCATTTTGAATCGGTCTCACTCCCTATTCTTTGAGGTCTGCTCCTACAATCCTTTCCCCAATCCCTAGTTCTTTGATTACTGCTGGTGTCCACAGTTCTGTTTCCTTAGTTACTGTTGGTTTCTGTTAATAATGCACATGAGATAAAGGCTATTGCTAAAAGGGAATCTTGAAAGCCAAAAAGCCACAAAAGTTGTTAGACGTAAGTCTAGTATTTAAGGGCTGTTAGAGTACTTGCCACTTCAAGACTCCTGTGATAGGCTCTTTTAGGTACTAGTTTTGCTCCAGGAAGCCCAAAGGCCTAGCTAAAAGAAATGGGTCCTTTATATGCAAAGAGTTGAGTGTGCCCCCTTTAGGCAGACTTGCTTATTTTATGTCTGAGAACTGTGATCTCAGAAGCTGTAGATATTTACAAATAGCCAAAATCTTGCTGAGCTTTTTTTTTTGTCTTGAGAGCTTGACTTGATTTCTGTCTGGTTGGGGAACTCCAAAACACAGCCAAATAAAAATGTGAGTTGCACTCCATTTGTGGCTAGGCGTGGCTGGACAAAAATGTGAGTTAAACTCCATTTGCAGCCAGGGACCAACCAAACTTCAACCAGCCCTCAGGGGGAATTGCAATGGCCATTATGGGGAACATTCCAAATAGATAGGATCACTTTAAAAATACATGTAAAAACAAGGCCTCTTCAGAAGTCTCCAAAAGAGTTTGAAATTCTGAAATAGCTTCATTGAAAGATCCATTGCAAAAGGCTAAAGAAAAATTAAAGAAATAAAAGCTACCTAAAACAAAAGCTACAACCCAGTTCTTTGGGGAATTGAAAACAACTGTCTTTGTCTTGCATGTCTACCAAATCAGACATGTGGCTCTAGGAGAAATTCAACAGCTCACCTCTCTTTATCATCCTCCAAAACTCCCCTAAACAATTCAAAATGCTTGTCGATATTGGGATGATAGAAACAGAATTATCCTTCTTAAGAATTTGAATTACCATAGACCTCTGATAATAGGCAAATATGCCCCCAAAACTTAGTCTTTGAGAAAAGCTTGAAACCTTCCTCTGTGCCTTTGTAATTTAGATTTTCTACCCCCATCTTCTCTAGGAACTAAGACCTATTCTTTGAAATGCAAACTTTAGGGAGAAATTTCTCATCAGAAGGGGAAAAAAAAGAGAGGCGTTTGGAAGTTGGGCAAATAAAAATTTTCCTCTGCACAGATATTAATAACTATAAGGTACCTGCTTGCATCTATCTGTGAGTGTCTATCTATGTATGCTGTAGATGTGTGATTTTTTTTTTACCTCTGGATGATATTGTCAAAATTAATTTGTAAAAGAGCTCTATTTAATTGGCTTAAAGAAAATTCAGCATGTATATAAATTAAACTCTCATAAACATAATAAAAACTAGCCCAAATAAATTTCAGGTTCATGTGATCTTGGAAAATATTAGGTGTTAAAATTAGTTTAAGTTCTCATGTTTATTTAAAACAGACAGCTTCAGAGTTATCAGCATTAAATATAATGCAGATAAACAACTTTTTCCTATCTGGGTTTACTAGTCAGATTCATGTTATCTCTGTTGCAAAACTTATCAGCAAAAAAAAAAAAATAACTTAAAATGATAGTTGATTTAGTCTAATGCCTCATGAAGTTTTCAAGGGTAACATAAACATAATTATTGAGAGCAAATGATTTAGATAGATATAAGTCAGATAAGAGTTTATAGATAAACATTTTAGCAACAATTATATTTTATGATATGTCTACTTAGTTTCCCAACTCTCTTTGGTAACTTGAAACATTAGAGTTTTCCTAAGTTAAATTAAATTATGGGAATTCATTGAATGTCTAGATCATTTCTAAATAAGATAAAATACTGAAACATTAATTGCTAAACAAGTCTAAATTTATCTACTTTTGAGCTCCTATTACAGAAGAACTAAAGATATTTGGGTCTGTTAGTAAACATGTTTTATGCCATGCTGAAAAGCATGTCTCTAAAAATAAGAAGTGTTTCTAAAATTTGCCAAGCCATGGAATGCTAACATAAAACACAGTCTACCATTGCTTACTTCTTAGTTTTCACAGGAAATTAAGCCTCCTAAGGGTTAAGAATTCTAATTAATGTATGTAATTAAAGCTACTAGAAAAAATAAGAGAAACAACTCTGTATGCAAGGAAAGTAGGATGTGTTTTTGGTTAAGAGAAGTCATGAGGTATGGAGATGTGTTTTTGTTAAAGGACAAAACAAAAAAACCAACCAAGTAATTTTGTCCTGGTTCTTTCAGAATGGAAAAAAAAAAAAAAAAAAAAAAAAGAGAGAGAGAGAGAGAAAGAAGGAGAGAGAATCTTGACTTGTGCGGATGAGTTTAGAGAAAAGACCATGAGTTTGATTTTGCACTTACTGAGTCTGAGATTCCTATATTACATTCAAGTAGTAACATTCTAAAGACCATTGGGAAAATGCACGTGAAGCTCAGGAGAGACACAGAGAGTAGGGAAGGAGAATATGATCATTAGAGAGGCATAAAGACAGATTCTAGCTGAAATTGCTAAGTGATTGAGTTCAACCAGGGAGAGTGTGTAGAATGACGAAAGTGTTGGGTTGAAGGCATAGCTCAGGGAACAGCAGTGTTTCAGGAGAAGGATGTTGGACCCCTACGATAATGGCCAGACCCAAAGCCTGCATTTTTTTGACTTCCTAGGTGGCATTTGCCTTCCTGTCTTGTTCTGCCTGTTAGCTGGGCAGCACAGAGCTTCATGTTCAACCTCCAGTGATAAATGTTTCTTTAATTGAGATTGGAGTTTTCCAAATCCCCTAGAGATTATTCCTTACTGGGCCAAGTAAAACTCCACTGATGGCTAGGCTCAATTTCTAGAACCTCTGCTTCATACCCTAAGAGGCAGGTGCAGTAAAAATTCTAGGCAATATTATCACATCTGACCCATTTCCCTGTGTGTAAACCATTATCATCAGCTAGTGATTACTAAGATACCACCAACTCCAGACAATGAAATATCACTTTATAAGAGTCATTTTTACCTGGAAATGTTATGTTCAAATTTTATATACAGAACTCAGATATATCAAATTATGCAACTGGCTTTAAGCAAATATTTGTGAAAATAGATTAGAAATGAGATATATATTGAAGCTCGGTAATAAATGCCAATGCTATAAAGCAACTTGATTAAAGTGCATTGTTTCTCACATTTGAAAACTTGAATTTGCTTTATTTGTAGCCAGAGAAGACAGGAGATGACCAACATGATGGTCTGGTTTTGGAGGATAAAGAGTAGAGCTAGCTGTCCTCAGTATGCACAACTTTAAGCTGACTTCAAGCATTCTGTGTTGGAATTTAATAGGTTTAAGGTTTTATTTTTTATTTCATTTTACTTTTTATTTTAAATGCAAATATTCTGGATGGATAACAATGGGTGTGCTGTTGTCAATATGCTTAGTGTGGACAAGGGGAAGGTGGTGAGGAGAGGGGACAGAATGAGCCTAAGTCACTGCCAGTCTGAGAAAGAGCAGAGAGTTCCATAAAAGGCCGGCCACTGTCAGATTTAGCCTCATTCCAAATTGCTTTGTGGGGTAGCTCTGTTGAGGACATTTGTGGACATTGTGGTTAAGTCTCAATTGTGTCTGCAGGAAAATGATTTTTACCCAACATCTCATCTTTATGTTGAATCAGATTAGTCAGGCCTTCCAAGAGGAGAGTCTGGGATGCCATCATTCTAGGAAATAAATTATTTTAACATTAGTGTAAAATCTGTGTAGCCTGGGAATCTGAAATGTAAAAGGGGAGGAGAAAGTCCACCCTTTTCTAATGATTGAAGATCATCTTCCTAATATAGAATTAGTAAATCAAGAAATAGAAAAGAAATGTTTATGATTTCATTAGATAAAAATATGGAAAACATTGTAGTTCATTTTTTGTTTAAATATCGAGTTCAAATGCCCAGTCAACTCTAAAGCCACTATGTGGGACACTAACAAATGTGCACTTGCAATGTGGATTTCTTTCTTTTCTTTCTCCCCACCAAGGTTTTAGGATTGAGCATGGAGCTAAAAATCTTACTTTAGAATTTTTTAGTTTAATTGAGGTAATATTGGTTTAAAACTTTATATAAATTTCAGGTGTGTATCATTAAATTTCGACTTCTGTATAGACTGCATTGTGTTCACCACTCAAATCTGGTTCCCATCCATCACCATACACACGTGCCCCTTTACTCCTTTCACCTTCCCCTCACTCCTTCCCCTCTGGTAACCACCAAGCTGTTCTCTCTGTTTATGTGTTTGCTTGTTGTTGGTGTTTTCGTCTTCCACATGTGAGTGAAATCATACAGTATTTGGCTTTCTCCATCTGACTTATTCCATTTAGCGTAATACCTTCAAGATCCATTCACGTTGTCACAAATGGCAAAATTTCACCTTCTTTTAAGGCTGAGTAGTATTCCATCTTCTGTATCCATTTATCTGTCAGTGGGCACTTAGGTGTTTCCATGTCTTGGCGATTGTAAACAATGTTGCAATGAACACTGGGTGCATATATATTTTTGATTTTAACATTTTTTTGAATCTCTACTGTTTTCCGCAGTGGCTGCACCAATTTACATTTCCACCAGCAGTATGTAAGGGTTCCCTTTTCTCCAAGTCCTCTCTCACACTTGTTATTTCTTGTCTTTTTAAGAATAGCCATTCTGATGGGTATGAGGTGATATCTCCTTGTGGTTTTGATTTGCATTTCTCTAAGTCAGTGATGTTGAACATCTTTTCATGTGCTTATTGGCAAGCTGTATGTCTTTTTTGGAAAAGTGTCTGTCCATGTCCTCTACTCATTTTTCAATCAGGTTGTTTGGTTTTTTGTTGTTGTTGAGTTGCATGAGTTCTTTATATATTTTGGATATTACCCCATATCAGATATATGATTTGCAAGTATTTTCTCCCAGTTGGTGGGTTTTTTGTTGTTGTTGTTGATGGTTTCTTTGCCCTGCAGAAGCTTTTTAGTTTGATATAGTCCCATTAGTTTATTTTAGCTTTTATTTCCCTCACTGAGGAGACATATCCAAAAAGATATTGCTAAGACTGATGTTCAAGAGTGTACTGCCTATGTTTTCTTCTAGGAAGTTTATGGTTTCGGGTCTTACATTCAAGTTTTTAATCCATTTTGAGTTAATTTTCGTGTATGGTATAAGATAGTGGTCTACTCTCATTCTTTTGCATGTGGCTGTCCAGTTTACCCAACACCATTTATTGAAGAGACTTTCCTTTCTCTATTGGATGTTTTTGGCTTCTTTGTCAAAAATTAGCTGGCCATATACGTGTGGGCTTATTTCTGGCTCTTAATTCTGTTCCACTGATCTGTGTGTCTGTTTTTATGCCAGTACCATGCTAGTTTGATTACTATAGCTTTGTAGTACACTTTGAAATCAGACAGTATAATACCCCCAGCTTCATTCTTTTTTCTCAGGATTGCTTTAGCTATTCATGGTCTTTTGTTATTACATAAATTTTAGGATTCTTTGTTCTATTTTCATGAAAAGCGTCATTGAGATTTTGATAGGGATTGCATTGAATCTGTAGATTGCTTTAGGTAATATAGACATTTTAACTATATTAATTCTTCTAATCCATGAATACAGAACATCTTTTCATTTCTTTGTATCTTCTCCAATTTCTTTCAACAGTGACTTATAGTTTAGAGACCTGTCAACTCCTTGACTAGCAGAAAGAGAAATTAAGAAAATAATTCCATTTACAATGCAACAAAGAGAATAAAATACCTAGGAATAAGTTATTTTAAAATTTTTAACTTTTGAGAAAGATGGCTCTGACTTGATAGTGATGATATTTCAGTGATACTGACTTTTTGACCTAGTTTTTGGATACTGAGCAGAAGCTTAGAAGGAAGTACCCTTAGATCATTTTCTACCAGATCATTTTGGATTTCTCGTTTTCCCTCAGGGCACTGTGGCTGTATTTTTCACACATGCTGTGCTGTGCTCTGAACTTGGATTTTAGGATACTGCTCCCAGTTTCCCTAAAAGGAGGAGAGGTGACACTCCAAGAAACATGAATACTGACATGTGCAAAATGGGAACACCATATACCATGAGAGGAAGAATCTTTCATGCTTTAGGAAAATGCTTTTGGAAAAGGCTGATTATCATTTGCTCTCCTCTGAGCTCAGAGACTGATTCAAGTCTCACATTCAAAGACTGCACAGGGCCCTCTCGCTTCATTTCAGAATAGATTTATACAAAAACAAAACATAAAAATCTTTACGAATATATGTCTCTACTACATTGCTTATATTTATTTATTTTTCTTGGAAGCTTCCTAAACATCTTAGTAGCAGTTAATATCCCCCATGGGTTTGTTTTCTAATATATCAGGGCTGTGATACAGTATGCTGTTTCTGTCACTGATATGTTGCTAAGAGATTTAATAATGGGTAAACAAACACAACATGTGGTAATTCATTTCAAATTAAAAGTTTATTAAACTCTGGCTTGATGGCTTTCTGGCTATTTACAATTAAAGGAGCAAACCTTAGGGAAGGGGTGACCACGTGGTGTGTTCATGGCTGCAATGTTTCTATCTGAAAAATATGTTTATGATCTTCCACAAGCTGTCCCACATTGATAGACTCCATACGGAATCTACTGAGTCTGCTACAGCCCCAAATCATGAAATAGTGACTTTAATGTTCATTTATAAGCACACACATACAAGCACACACTCTCTCCCTCACACACACATACCCTGAGAGGATTCTGAATTTAATCCCAAGGTTGATGTTTTCAGCGGTGATCAGCCTTGCAAATGGGTGGATGCCTAAAGCCAGAAAATATTTATGAAAGGCCAGAAGAAAAGACCCATGATATAACTTTTGGCTTATTACTATCTTTTAGGCTGCTATACTTTTTAGTGGGCAGACCAGGGAAATATTTATTATGCTTGATAATTTTGTTTTGTGTGTGCCTGCATTGCATGAACAATGGTCTCAGTCGAGGTCTATATGTGTTTTGTGATGCAAAATTCAATTCAGGTGTGTTTGATTGTGTAACCACCATTAACAAAGCACACTGCTAAATGGTATGGTGTTATAAACCAAAACAACCTGCAATCCCAGCCCCCTAGTGCCCACTACTTGGGTAAATACATGTACACATGTTGAGTAGGTGGGAGGACCTACCGGTGCTCTCTTTACATACAGTAGCAGCAAGCCTTGTGGGAGTGACTTTAAACTTGGTGAAATGAAGCAGATGCATTTGGCTAAATAACAATGATTTAGTTGTTAGGTGAGAGGAACAATGGTGGGAATTTATGCTGTCTGTCAATCAGATTTGCTCTTTAGCTCAGCTGTCTCACGGTGGGATTTCTGGGGAGAGGGGAACTGTGTGGAAACACTGGCCAACCTGCTGAAAGAGAGAACCTGTTCACTGAAATTCTGTAAGACATGGCAATATACTGTATATTAAAGTATGTACAATCTTGTGAGACAAGGAGGTATACTATAGACATACACCATGCTCTATATATTGTCATTCTGTAATCCAGGGTGTTACAGAGGCCACTGTGGGACAAGATAAGTGAGTAGATCATAAACTCATGTGACACATGCTGGTGACTTCTCAGAAACAAATATGTGAGCTTTTGAGGCCAGTTGAAATTTGCCTGAATTTCTTTTTCCTTTTTTTGAGGAAGATTAGCCCTGAGCTAACATCCTCTGCTAATCCTCCTCTTTTTGCTGAGGAAGACTGGCCCTGAGCTAATATCTGTGCCCATCTTCCTCTATTTCATATGTGGGACATCTGCCATAGCATGGCTTGATAAGGGGTGAGTAGGTCCATGCCCAGGATCCAAACTGGTGAACCCTAGGCTGCCAAAGTGGAGCACGTGAACTTCACTGCTATACCACTAGGCTGGCCCCCTGAATTTCTTTTTAATGTGACCTCTTTTTAAATCTTATATTGGTATGATCTGGAGAAATATGTGTTAATTTCACAATCTTGTGCTGGGATTAGAAGAGTAGTTTGGAGTTCAGAAGGCAAGCATAGATGAAAATTCTTTTGGATAAAAGAAACACCATGAGCAAACTTAAGAAGTCAGAATGGTACAAAGTATATTTGAGGAACTATGAGGAGTCGTTGGATTCCAGAATATATATGAGGACTGATTTGGGTGAGGAACACTTTAAGGCAAGAAATCCAGTAAGGAGGCCACTGCATTGGCTCAAAGAAGAGATGGTAAGGGCCCGAGGTAGAATAGTGGCAGTCAGATACAATCAAGAGGGTTCATTCAAGAGACATGTTAAAGTCAGGTCAACAGGATTTGTTAAGTGAAGAGTTGTGTCATAATGAAAGACATGAAGATTATAGTCATGAGTATTTCTATCTTAGGTATCTGGGAAAATAGTGTTGCCCTTATCAGAGATGAGATGTCCAAAGGAGCAGTTTTCAGATAAAAGTTGACAAGTTGGTGTTGGTCAAATAGAGTTTAAACTGTTGGGGAACTTAAGAAGACTATGACTAGCGTGGAGTGGACAAACGTGGATTTAAAGCTCAGGAAGAACATATGGGTGTCATCTTAATAGGGGTGGGGGCTAAAACCACAGGAATGGAGGGGTTTACCAAGGGAGAGAAGTGTGGAGCAA